CACATCAGGCGGAGCAAATATTTTAAAAGAAGATATCCTACGGGCGTACGAAAATCGAAATTGTTCAACTTCAATGTCCTCGGATGGGAATTTTTCACGTATGAATTCCATAACATCCTCAGATTTGGTATCCGGGGTAAATCTAGAAACAAACAATTGCTTCCTATGTGGAACAACTGAAAGTTTCTTACGCCCCCCAGCAGCAGTCTGAACCTCACTCGGCTGGGACCCAGAAGCGGTTCCTACAGTATCTACGGTCAGCACCGACTTCTGTGGCTCAGGTTGGCATCCAGAAACAGGGTCACCTCCGGAACTGGCTGTTACCATAGGCACAGGTGGCTCGCTTACCCCTGTGCCGACCGGAACTGCTGCAGCTACCGAGTTCAATGTTTTGTTTTGTTTCACGGTCTTATTAACCGCCCCTGAGCTGGCTTTTTTCCGTTTAGGCGACTCGGTTAATAATAATTTCTTATTATTAAATTGGTCGCAAACTGAGTTGAACCCGTCATTGAGCTGTGTGAAAACTCGTGAAAGGTTTAATAGTCCGTCTCGAGTCTGCCTCATAAAGCTGCTCATTTCGACTGTCATTTCCTTGCAGGACTCACATGCCCACATGAGACCGGTACGCATTTCAATGAAGTCTTTAACTCTGCCAGTAAATCCTGCACATTTGACGTGCATGACCGAATCGCAGAGCCAGCAGATAATAAAAGAATCTTTGGTTGACATCGGAAGAGCACAACTTTTCTTTATACAGATAAGGGCCATTTTATAGGAAAAAAAGATTATTCAAAGAAATAGAAAATAAAATGTGAAAAATATACCTCGAGTAAATTTGGCACTGGGATCAAATTCCAAAACCGCAAAAAACACAAAACACAAAAGTATAAGAGCGCGAGATCGCGAATTAAGTCGAGAGCAAGAGAGCGCGAGAGAAAAAGTGTTCAATCGACTGAGCGTGGCTTGTGGGGCACCAACAACAAAACGAACGAACAGTTGCAATGTAAAGCGAGAGAGAGAGACTATGAGAAAAGCACCCAAGAGTCTACAAGAAATTTGGCAGGTTCCGAGAGAGCGAAATTACAGTTATAATAGAGCGGAATAGAGAGAGAGAATACAAGAGCAAATTTAGAGAGTGCAAAATAACACCAACAAAGCCAAGATATTAAACAAATCTAATGGAAATTGTTAAAATAACTAAAACCACATACCCGTTAAACAGGGAGATCTATTTAAAACACTAACGCGATTGTTAGGCAAACTTTGTTAGTAAGCTAAACACAAAACACTTGCGAAAAAATCACAAAAATAAATCAAAAACTCAGAGCACAGGTAAACACAACCGTTCACAAGCGACGCTAAATCGTCATTTACTTTCATAATAATTTTATAAGATACGCATATGTTGGTAATTCATAGTCATTCGAGTTCTTAAGGAATCACTGTCCACCTAGGATAGTTAATTCTTAAGATTCATTTTAAAATTGTATATGTTGGCCATCCATGGTCGCTCCAGCTCTTAAAGAATCACGGTCTATCGAGGATATTTAATTCACGGTTGTGGGGTCTGGTTTGCTATAAAAAGAATTTCACATTTTTGTCGAGTTTTTTTCGAACGCCTATTATTTTGAGAGCAAACGGAGAGCCCATATGTTTTTTTATAGCAAAATGTCACAAAACACCTCAAAACCCTAGAAAATGCTACTTTGTTTTTATAGCAAAACACGCAACTTTGAAATGCAATTACAAGAGAACCATGCATTTCCGCCGATAATCTTCTGCACGTAAATTCTTAAGACATCGCGGCCCATCGAGGGTAATTTTTTCGCGATTTTTGGGGCACAGGCCCCTCTTCTAGACTATTACCCTAAGTTTTTTATCTCCATCTCCTTCGCACTCCCTTTAGCTGAGTAACGGGTATCTGATAGTCGGGGCAGCCGACTATAGCGTTCTCTCTTGTTATTATAAAAGTTGACAAATAACTCTTACGTTTCAATTTTTATTATAAAAATCAACAACTTTCCCAACTTTTATAATAAAAATTGAATTGAAATAACTCTTGAACTGAGGGGTGCATTGGTTTAATTTATATCTTTAAAATCTACGCTTGAATACCTTTCTGTTGATATGCCATATGTCCCCAAAATATTTTTATACCCTTGCAGAGGGTATTATAATTTCAGTCAGATGTTTGCAACGCAGTGAAGGAGACGTTTCCGACCACATAAAGTATATATATTCTTGAGCCGAGTCTATCTAGTCATGTCCGTCTGTCCGTTTCTATGCGAATTAGTCTCTCAGTTTTAAAGCTATCGCGATGAAACTTTCCCGAAAGTCTTCTTTCTATTGCAGGTAGTACATATGTCGGAGCGAGCCGGATCGGACCACTATATCTTAAGGCTCCCATAGGAATATTCAAAAAAATATAAGAAAATTCATTGTAACTTTGTAGGAAGTAGGCGTTTTGATTTTTGACAACTTAAAAACAAAATTTAAATAATAGGCACGCTGAATCTGGAATCCAATCGGTAATTAAATAATTGGGCTAATTATATTCATCGTCTGCATCTGCTGGATTCTAAATTAATCAATATTTATGAGAATATATTTGATGTAAGTTAAAAAAAGAAAACTAAAAATTCGTAAACCTAAAAATTAGAAAAAAAAAAATTTGGCATAACATTTAAAAAAACGTCAATGATTTATTTATTTATTTATTTAGTTCTTCCTAACGCTACAAGTGTAATACTTATAATTTAATGCCCTAATCACACAGGACAAGTTAATTTTGTGTCAGTAATTTTGACTTAACTCTAATTCACAAATTTTAATTATACTTATATTAAATCTAAAGCTAGGGTCGCTTTGTTTATTTTACGTCATGTTAGCTGCTTGGAGATGAGAAATTAATTTTGCCTTAAACTGCGCTGCACTATTTTTTTTATTATAAAGTTTGGTAATTGGTTCCATGACCTGATTGCATAAATAAAGAATTGCCGGTCAGAAAGCAGGGATCTATGCCTTATTTGAATAATTGTAATTGCTCTACGCGAATTGGAAAATCTAAGCGTTTCAAAGAGGTAGCTAGTAGAGCCCTGCACGAGTAGACTTGTAAACAGCTCTGAGCTAGAGCTTGTTTGTTTGTTTGTGACTTTCGAATCATAGCTCATGGGATTATCAAGTAAGCAAGTAACAGCTCCAAACAAGCTCAGGTTCCTAACGGATACCTTTAAAACAGATCAGTTCAAACAGCTCACAACAACAAAACAAACAAGTCAAACAGCTCATATTACTCGGACAACTCGAACAGCTCGAACAGCTTACAGGGTCTAGTGTCAAATATTTCCGGTTAATAATTAATTTATAATAAGAGAACAAATATATCGTTTACCCTTTAATGTTAAATTCTTTAGGTGAAGATAGGGTAATACTATACATAAGCGGACTCACCCCCGAAATTCGCGAAAAAAATTATCCTCGATGGACCGCAATTTCTTAAGAATTTACATGCAAAAAGAACTTGGCGGTCGGCCATGGTTCTTTTGTAATTTAATTTCAAAGTTTCCGGTTTTGCTATAAAAAACAAGGGTGCTTTTCTCATATTTTCAATCAAAGTAATTACTTTTTAATGAGTTCCTATAAAATTAATATATTGTTTAAATGATTGATATTGTTTTATGGCCTAGAAATCTCTCTGCTGAAGTATTCCCGAATAGGAAGTATTTGAAAGTAGAGCATTTAAAAAAGAAAGTAAAAGAAAGACTGCGCCGAGGGCGAAAAAAATGTAAGAAAAAATCGCGCGATTTTTTCTTAAATTTTTTTCTCCTGCGGCGCACTTTTTCTTGTTCTGTATCAAACAAGTAGTTTTAGCTAAAGGTTTGTTGTGTCGCTCAGAAAAACAAATTAAATCTTTAAGTTTGGTTTTGGGTGGAAAAGACTAAAAGAAAGGTTAAAATATATAATCCTCCTTGGACCGCGATTTGTTCTGATTATCATAATAAAAATACACATGTGGTCATCCATGGTTATGAGAGTTCTTAAGAAATCGCTGTCCATCGAGGATCATTTTTACGCGGTTGTGAGGACTACTTCCCTCTAATACCAATTACTCAGATGTTTGGAATTTTAAAATAGTCCTATTTTGACAAAAAAGGAAAAGGGATCATATATACATATATGATTTTTATAGCAAACGTTTGAAAAGCATACTTGTTTTTTATAGCAAACCCGGGAACTTTGAAATTCAATTACAAGAGAACCATGGCCGACCGCCAAGTTCTTTTTGCACATAAATTCTTAAGAAATCGCGGTCCATCGAGGATAATTTTTTCGCGAATTTCGGGGGTGAGTCCGCTAATGTATAGTATTGCCGAAGATAGTGTAATATTCTTTTATGGATAGACGTGGTGGTCATAAATCGCGAAAATATGATCCTCAATGGATCTTAAGAACCTTGAAATTTCGGTTACAAGAACTATCGAACCCAACAATGCCTTTCCATTCTCAAGATATCGCGGTCCATCGAGGATAACTTTTCTAATACTTTACCCACGACCAGTCTTCAACAAAACATATGTTGCATTTTCATTACCTTAAGAATTCGCGGAAAAGCGAAAGTATAGTATGGCTCAATGTAACGAATATGCGAGAGAATATCGGCCCTGTTCTAGTTTTCACTTCCGAAAGTTTCACACGGATTCGAATTTCCCAGACCTGTTCCAAGACTCACTTCCGAAAGAACTGCACGGAATCGAATTTCCCTCTGTTGTTACTCTGTTAACTTCCGAAAAATTCACACGGAAACTTTCCGCGAAGCATATGACAGGCGGATTTAAATTCGGCAGTATAAAAATTAATTCTTTAAATATACTTCGCGATAGCTTAATATAATATTTTTATATTATATATATATAATATTTTTATGCTATTCCTTGATGTTTTATGTTCCTAATTGCATCATCGGAATCGAAGTTATTTGCATATATGACTTATTAATAATTATTTTGTGGTTGCACCTTAAAACCCGGTAAATTCTAGCCTTGACAATGAATGCAAATCCGCCTCCCTTGTTCTAAATTCCGCTCGGATTTGGGAAAAATGGCCTAGAGTTGTCACGGTATGGATATAGGTATGTATTTCGTTGGGACTTTTTCTAAACTTATCCGATAAGGTTCGTGGTTCTTTTATAAGAAAGATAATTTATCCTAATTAACGAAATAAGTGTTTTGGCTCGGAATACCACAATATTTGATGTAAAATTTGAACGGGGACATTTGATAGGGATTTTGTTTTTCGACTTTGGCATCTCTGTATGCTTTAGCAGTTTGCAACACTATTTGAAAACAAAAGTGCTACCAAAAAAAACAACTGGCCTGATACAAAGTTTAGCAAACAACATGTAAGTAACTAAAACGCCCAAAATTTCATTTATTTCAAGTAATCTTTGCTAGGCGGAAGCATAAAAATACTGTCCAGGACGAAATCTTCCTTAAGTTCATGGGAGAAAACGTGGACATAGCGAGGGGATTCGTTAAGGGCGACAGGGTGGCTGTAGATGCTAAATGGAGCGCACTAGCCGCAGAGTTGAACCCAGCAGGACCGCCTGTTAAGGATGTCTCCGGATGGAAGAAGGTTGGCTTACATTTTCAAACTAATATACATTTCTATAAACTTATTCTCATTCAACTTCATATATTTAAAGGCATGGTGCGATTGGAAGGGAGCGATTAAAAAGAAATTGGCTCACAACCGAAAGGAGTCGACTGCTACCGGTGGGGGTCCCTTCAACCAGGTGACAGTATCGGATGTGGAGGGATCTGTGGCCGCAATTTGTGGGATCTACCAAATGGTGAACGGCATTGAAGAAGCCAGATCCTTTGGTCCCCCCAGTTCCGATATTAAGGCGGAGGGGGATAAAACTATCAAGCGCCCAGCCAACACCAGTGCAGCAATTGACCAAACTCCGAAGAGGACTAGAGTGGGTCAAACGAAGTCCTTGGAAGAGGTTTGCGCCACCCAGAATGCTCTAATGGAAAGAGTGGTAGAGTCTATGGAATCGATGGCCGCCACTATGAAGATGCAGACAGAGATGATGGCTCAACATCTGCAAGAACTTAAGACCATTGAAGCACAAAAACTAGAAGTGCTAACAAAGCTACTAGGTGATAAGAATTAGATTAAGTAGATTTAAGTAATACTCTAGATTGAATACAGTGCCTTTCCGCAATGAAGCGATGTGACCTCAATTAAATTTAATAATTTAAAATAAATGATTTTAAACTAATAACCTTTATTTAATGGATACTTAAACATATTAAATTACAAAAAGCTTGCAGCAATTCCGTCCCGAATTTCAGCAGAATTCCCCAAACTCTCTTGGAGGTTAGATTCCTCCTCGTTCTGGTTGGGGTATTCGTCATTATCCTCTTCAAACTCTGGCATATACGCATTCCGTCGTCGGCAAAGATTGTGTAATAAACAGCAAACATTAATAATTTTGCACACAAATTGTGGATCGTACTGCAATGTTCCTTGAAGCCATCTAAATCTACTTTTTAGTAGACCAATAGTCCTCTCAACAATATTCCGAGCTGCTGCGTGCTTTAAATTGAATACATGCTGCATACTTTCATTTTGCGGACTACGATAAGGTGTTAGCACAAACGGTTTCAACGCATATCCTGAATCTGCTAATACAAAGAAACCACTGGTTGTAGAGAAAAATTCTCTTGTTCTACTGTTGTTCCAAATAAAGGAATCGTGACATGATCCTGGATGTGTAGCATCTATTGCTAATATCTCCATATTATCTCCAGTTGCATACCTAAAAGAAATACGAATCGCTAGTCAATGCACATATTTAATAGTTTCTTTATACAAACTTACCACCATTGCATTTATGCTGAAGTAGCCTTTACGATTCAAATATAATGATGAGTCCTTAACTGGCTTTATAATTTTAACGTGCGTTCCATCCACACACGCAATTACATTTGGAAATGCAAATTTTTCAAAAAAGTAGTCCTTGGATTGATCTATCTCAACCGGCGTTTGTTGGGTGGAAATGTTTTCAGTGCACAAGCACTCCAACGCTCCCACCACTTTGTGCAAAATTTTGGAAAATGTGCTCCTTCCAATATTGACATCGTGATCCTTCGCCACCCCCAGTTGATACGACCCGGTTGCTAGGAACCGAAGAACGGCCGCAACCTGGGTAACATGGGAAATTAAGGGGTTTTCTAGGTAGGGTCCGACTTCGCCTACAAGAATTTTGAACAATTCCTTGTCGACCCGGTAAGATTGTATAAATCTGCAAATCTTATTTTAGCTTTCGATACTTGCAATTTTTAATTAATGCTAACTTACTGCCGATCGGGAAGGTTAAAAATATCAGAATTGTTCCTTAATTGCCGTCTGTTGCGAATTGTGCTTAACAACTGTCTCCTTCTCAATTCATTGTTTGCCAAAACGTGTAAAAACATTTTTATAGACTAACTCCTGAATTGTTTATAAAAAAATTTGACAAGTCAGCTAGTTTCCCACACTGCTTTTTAATACTATTCTGTCGGGAACTTTTCAAAACTGCACAGGGACCAATGGGAAATTTTATAAAATGTCCTTAGCAAGAAAGGGAAATTTAGTTCTGTTAAAGGGAAATCTGATAATGTTAATAAATTCACTTCCGAGTGAAAACTGGAACAGGCCTGTATAAAATTATTTTAAGGAAGATAATGGTATTGATGTGTACCTACAGAACAAGAATTTAATTTTTCAGCTTTTATCCTTCATAACATTTTTTGGCTCTGTTCTTACATAACATTTTTCACCCCTGTTCCCAGATAACCTTTATTAGGTATGTTCGGATACTTGATGTACTAAACATGATCTATAAGCTACTATACTTGCTTTTTTTCGATCAAACAAACAGCTCAACGTAAAAATTTTTGAGCTGAGCTACTTGATCCGAAAATTTCTGTGAGCTGATTTACTCGAACTGTTTTCCTGAAATTTAAGTCAAAGGGCATTTCGAGTATACTCGTGCAGGGCTCTAGTAGGAAGGTTCTTTAGTAAAAATTATTTTATGTAGGTATACTAACACTCTTAATTTTTCATTCAGTCTGCCGAGTGCAGTTCAAATATTTTGTAAGCAAATCCTGTGACGTGATCAAATCGATGCAGATTGAATACGAATGCTATTATAGGCCACTTTAATTTTGTGCTGGCTGATTGAATCACTGTTTGCAAAAACTTCAATCCCATAAAAAAGTGCTGGGATCAGACACGATTTTGCAAGCAACAAGCGTATGTTTGTGGGTAAATAATTTTTAACCTGGTAAATTGTTCTAAGTAGTCCATACGTTTTCCCTGCAGCTGCGTTAATGTGATCACTCCAGGCCAGCGTACTATTAAAAACAAAGCTCAAGTTAGTGGCTTTTTCAACGTATTCAATTGGTATGCTCTTTAAAGCTAAGGGCTGGATGGAGTTAAGGCTAATTTTCTTTTTGTAAATTATGAGGCACTTGGATTTCGCCGGATTAAGACCTAACCCGTTATCTTTTGCCCAGTTGCTTATTTGGACCAGTTCACTAATACATAATATGTATTACATATATCTACACACTCATCTATTCTATGTAAGGGACGACTCACATATGTACATCTGGACATCGTCTGCGTACATATGGACATTACAATTTGATAACGCGGAAGGAAGATCATTCACATAAAGAGTAAACAGCAACGGACCAAGAACAGAACCTTGAGGTACGCCACGTTTTAGAGATACAAAAGAAGACGAGGCATTTGAAATTACAACAGACTGACGACGATGTAGTAGATATGAAGACATACGTTTGACGGCAGTTTTTGAAAATCTGAACTGATTTTTTAATTTTGCACATAGAACATCATGATTAACAGTGTCAAAGGCTTTACTATGGTCAAGGAGTACAAGGAAGGTCACATAGGATTTGTCAGCATAGTCACGTATACCATTTGAAATTTTTATGATTGCTGAAGTGCAACTACGATTTTTCCGGAACCCGGATTGCATATGGTTTAGTAAATCATTTTCAGCCAGTATGTTTTTAAAGGCCTTGGACAAATAAGGAAGGATAGAGATGGGCCTGTATTCATTGTTTGCCTTTCGGACGGGTACTATTTTGGCGATTTTCCAACTGTATGGAAATGTAGATGTTGTTATGGCAGTATTAAAAATGTGTGTTATGTATGATTTTGGGAAGCAATAATTTTAAGAATTTAGGGTTGATATCGTCCAGTCCAACTGCATCTGATTTGATTTTAAGGATGTTGAAAAGCACTTCACATTGATTGACACACACAAATCTAAACCTATTATCACAGACATTTTCAGGTACTGAACTCAGGTACATATTGCTATCGCAAATTTCAGGTACATTGCATCCCGACAGTCTTAGGTTCTGTCTGTCTTAATAACTTAAAGCGGCCGTAATGTTGTGGAGTCCTGTACCTTTTCCACTTTTGATACGCGTCATTTCGCGCTTTTATTGCCAACTTAATCTCATTATTAAACCACGGCTTAGTTGAGTGTTTTATCACTTTGCTTTTGACTGGTACAAATAAATCGTACAGGTAGCTTATGTCGTTTTAAAACACTGTGAGCTGCTGGTCTACCGTTGGGGATATGAAAATGTTATTCCAGTTGCAAATGTCAAGTTCGGCCATAAGCAGGTCATAGTCAATATTCTTAAAGTCTCTAAATACTATTGATTCGTCAGTGTGTTGCATGTCAAAGTTGTAGGTCAGATATATGAGATCATGTTTTGAGAACGATGGGACAATAAGTTGATCATATACATATACTTTTGCAAGGTCATTAAGAAAGAAAACAGCTGATAAAGAACTGCATGTTCATACCTAATGATTCCATTTCGCTTTTACGATGTGTTTCCCGCAACATGTTACTATTAAGATCTCCAGCTAATAAAATGTCCGCATAACTTAAAGATATATTTGTTAACGATTTAATAACGTCACTATAGTTAATGTTGCAACGTGGGCGGTAAATGCATCCGATAAGGATTTTCTTTGGTGTGTATCTACTAGTAATTTCAAGAAACAAGTACTCTCTTGGGCCTACTATCGGGATGCTTACATATAAACTAAACATATAAACTGTTTAAGCAAAATTGTCAGTTGCGCACGCATTATGTATAAAATAAAACATTGATAAGAAGCTGCAAAGGACATAAAGTAAACAAAGCGACCTACATTAATTTTAAAACTAACAAATACAAAGACTATGTTCGAAGGTTTAACATAAAAAATTGAGAGAAATTGATTATTCTCGAAATGAGTTCCTATCAGTGTTGGGAAAGGTACTGTGTTTTTTTTACCTAGGTAAGGTAAAAGGTATTGTCAAAAATAAATACCTAGGTAAGGTAAAGGTACTTAAATTTCCCAGTACCTAGGTAAAGGTAAAAGGTATTTATAAGGTATTTTTTATTTTTTATAATTTTTTTGTTTTGTTCAATGTAATCATTTAAACTTAAAATAAGACTAGTTTTCAGTTTTTAGTCGTCTTAATCAAACAATATCTTTTCATTTCATTTAAATTTAAATGTTTTAATTTTGTGCATATTTTTTTAAACCACGCGGCATGAATAATTTTATGCACGTATCACTTCATTAATGTATTTATGAAACCCTCATGTACATATTTGGCGCGCAAAAATTCCGTATGTAGAAACATTGACTATATATTGTGCATATGCATGTATATGCCGTTTGTTTACGTACATACGGCATTTTTGCGCGCCAAATACAGTTTGGTTTCATAAATAAATTGATGTAGTGATGGGAACATACATACGTGCACAAAATTATATAAAAAAAACTGCGATTAGTTTTAACTTCACAAAACAAACAATAGAACGGCTGAATTATTAATGCTGCGTTCCGACTATTACAATTCTGAAACGAAACGATACAATGAAACGATACTACAGTGTCGCAGTCAGATTTGGCTATTTTAAATCAGAGCAATGTTTAATACCTATGTAAGTACCTTAATAATTCCAAAGGTATATAAAAATAAATACCTAGGTAAGGTAAAAGGTACTCAATTATTTGTATACCTAGGTAAGGTAAAAGGTACCACTAAATTGTACCTAGGTACATACCTAGGTAAAAGTATCTAGGTATGTCCCAACACTGGTTCCTATGCGTGCCGCCCACATCGTTGGTCAGCTCAGAAAGCTCGCGCGAGCTTCGCTCAGCTTCACGTGGACCACTCCACGGCGTGTAAAAACAGCTGTAAGCTGTTTGTGCTTTTTAGTCGCATGGCTTCTTTGAAGATCTCATAATTATATTTGGTCAGCTGTTCGTTCATATACATCAGTGGTGGCGACTTAAACCCTATCAGCTGTAGGCTAAGTTGAGCTTTTTTTTCTCGCCGGTATGCCTCAATTGCTCTCAGTAGCTCCACCTTGCTGCGTACGTTTTCCAGTTTTACAATGATTATTGGGTCTACAAATGATTGACCTGATTGTCGCGGACGTACCCTAAAGATGGATTTGGCCACTGGAGGCGGAGTAAGTTGCAGCGAGAAACAGAGCTTGTGAAAAAGCGTCTTCAAATTTTCGCCTTCGACCTGTAGACAGTGTTGGGACATACCTAGATACTTTTACCTAGGTACGTACCTAGGTACAATTTAGTGGTACCTTTTACCTTACCTAGGTATACAAATAATTGAGTACCTTTTACCTTACCTAGGTATTTATTTTTATATACCTTTGGAATTATTAAGGTACTTACATAGGTATTAAACATTGCTCTGATTGAAAATAGCCAAATCTGACTGCGACACTGTAGTATCGTTTCATTGTATCGTTTCGTTTCAGAATTGTAATAGTCGGAACGCAGCATTAATAATTCAGCCGTTCTATTGTTTGTTTTGTGAAGTTAAAACTAATCGCAGTTTTTTTTATATAATTTTGTGCACGTATGTATGTTCCCATCACTACATCAATTTATTTATGAAACCAAACTGTATTTGGCGCGCAAAAATGCCGTATGTACGTAAACAAACGGCATACATACGGAATTTTTGCGCGCCAAATATGTACATGAGGGTTTCATAAATACATTAATGAAGTGATACGTGCATAAAATTATTCATGCCGCGTGGTTTAAAAATATATGCACAAAATTAAAACATTTAAATTTAAATGAAATGAAAAGATATTGTTTGATTAAGACGACTAAAAACTGAAAACTAGTCTTATTTTAAGTTTAAATAATTACATTGAACAAAACAAAAAAATTATAAAAAATAAAAAATACCTTATAAATACCTTTTACCTTTACCTAGGTACTGGGAAATTTAAGTACCTTTACCTTACCTAGGTATTTATTTTTGACAATACC